GCGCGCTCTGTCAGCACGACCTGATCAGAGTGATCTACAGCGGCCTGCACCCGCAGAGAGAGACCTTCACTGCCCAGAACAGGTCATCGTCTCGAGAACTCTGTCTTTCTCTCAGTTAAATGTCCAAAGGAAGGATCTGTGAAATGAGTCCTCAGACTGCTGTGAATGCAGGTGACGTCTGTGGTTGTGTGTGTCTGCAGGTTTGAGGTGCTGTGTTTCCTGATGCTGTGCTATAACTCGCTGGTGGTCTACATGCCCCGCTCATCACACCGGGCCGTCTGCAGGATGAGCTCGCGGTGAGATCTCACCTCCGCTCTCTGAACCCAGAGCCATTACAAGCAGGCAATGCCAAGTGTATTTCTAGAGCTCAATTTAAAACAGCTTAGGCTACGTTCACACTGCGAGCCTTAGTGCTCAATTCCGAATTTTGCTCAGGTCTGATTTTTTGTATAGCTGTTCACATTGATGTTCAGATTTCAAGTGTGAACAGATCATGGCTCTGAACTGACCCGCATGCGCAAAAGAACAACACGAACAGGGTTGCCAGGTTTTCACAACAAAATCTGCCCAATTGCTTCTCAAAACTAGTCCAATCACGTTTCAGGGGGTAAATATCGTGTTAGTGGAGTCGCTTCAACCCACAGTGTTGAAAAACAACCCGCAGCAACAGTGAAAAAGTAGCCCAATTCTGTGGGAAAACTTGGCAACACTTGCGCAGTGCGCTGTCATATGGAAGTAAACACAGGACATAAAGTAAGCGATTATGTGTTTATTTAAAGTGTGATCTGCCGCAGAAGCCAGTGAAATTATGCACAGGCAATATGAAAAACAAAGACAAGGATGTGACAAAAGAAAGCAGAGGTTTTGTAACATGATACGTTTTCTTGTTTTGCTCGTTTATAGAGTTGTCACTGTAATACTTATGAGTTCTGAGACATCACACTTCCACTGATTACTTTTCGCAGCTGTCTTGATAAAAGTCACATGGATTCCGATGTGACTGTTCACACTGCGGTGGCGTTGCAAAACATCTGACCTGTATCGGATTTAGGACCACATATAGAAGTGGCACAAATCGGAATTGAAAAGATTAGATTCCATGCAGTTTGTGCTGTTCACACTGCCATGAGAAAAACAGATCTGAGTCACATGTGAGCAAAACAATTTGGGCAGCATCCATCTGCAGTGTGAACGTAGCCTTAAAGTTGACCGAAGTGCTTTGCATCGATAAAAGTATAACAGCATTCAAAACAAGAGATTATATTAATCTCTATAGTACCTTAAAAGCCAAGAGCCACTGATAAGAAGCCAATGAAGAGACATTGAAATCCTGGTAATATGTTCACACTTACGCTCACCCAACAGAAGTGAAGCGGCAGAATTTGAAGTAGAGAAGCAGATATTTGATGTATGCATGCAGAGAGTGAGAGCACTGGTGTGTGTGTGTGTGTGATGTGCAGGCTGTGCGTGAGCGGCTTTCCCCGGCAGCAGCTGAAGGCCTGGACCGCTCCCTGCATGCGTGTGCTGCTGGAGCCCCAGTTCATGGTGCAGATGCTGGCTGCTGTCTATCACGCCATGTGAGTGTGAACACGGCCAAGACATCTCCTTACAAACTCACCTGAGCGTTGTTAAAGTCCTCCACAGTAACGCTTGTACTTGCATACCATTAAAAAATACTGGACTACAGTCAGAATGTGGTGATCATTGAGAATATTGGGAACTGGAAATTACAAAAACTCAAAAATAGGGAAATATCCAAAATACAAATGTATTTCAGTGAATTACAGTTATGAGAATGTTTTTGTTTTTTTACATTAGAAAGAATATAACCATTGTATTGATCTTCATGCAAGCCTGTAGTGACTAGAATTGAGTTCTAAGTGCATTTGCATGATTGTTTTTACATTTCACGGGTTAGGCTGTTGGTATTGCGTGATCAGGTTTGGGCATGTGTTTGTGCAGATATAACGGCGAGTGGGATGCTGGGAGAGAGGCTTTGGATGACATTCTGTACAGAGCTCAGCTGGAGCTGTATTCAGAGCCGCTGCTGGTACGATTCAGACTCCTCTCCTGTCTGTGGATGATTCTCTCTGCCGCTCGTCACGCTGTTTCACCACTCTCTGCCTCTGTGCTGTTTAGCTGGGCAATGCAATGAAGAGCTCTCTGCCCGGCAGCGCTCCGGACGGATCTCAGGGGAGGAAGGTCCTGCAGGTGGAGGTCACTCCCAGCATCAGACGGATCTCCCGTTGCACCATCACCGCCGCATCCATCCGCAGACTGCGCTGGAAGAGAGAGGGTGAGGTGAACGCATCGCACACACTAGCTCCAGCAGACTTCACAAACACTGGACCGCTGCTGCACCTTTCTCCTTCATGCCATTAGACCGGGTGTCCAAACCTGTTCCTCTGCAGAGTTCAGCTGCAACCCTAATCAAGCACACCTGAAGCAGCGACTCAAGCTCTTCAGACTCACTAGAAACGTCCAGGCTGGTGTGCTGGAGCTGGACTCTGCAGAACTTCAGGATCAGTACTGGATAGCCCTGCATTAGGCCATAAAGGTGTCATTATCATACATATCTGATATGTATTTTTTCCTGAGGTCCACTTAAATTGTGGGGGTATTTTGTGTCAAACATAGTCATAATTAAAGGGTTAGTTGACCCCAAAAATAAAAATTCTGTCATTAATTACTCACCCTCATGTCGTTCCAAACCCGTAAGACCTTCATTCATCTTCGGAGCACAAATTAAGATATCTTTGATCAAATCCGAGAGCTCTCTGACCCTCCATAGACAGCAATGCAACTGAAATGTTCCCAGACACAGAAACGTAGCAAGGACATCGGTAAAACAGTCTATGTGACATCAGTGGTGCAGCTTCAATTTTTCGAAGCTACGAGAATACTTTTTGAGCGCAGAGAAAACAAAAACAACAAGTTATTCAACAATTCTTCTCAGTTACGTCTTCCGTCATTTTGGAGAGTACCCCAAAACATAATCAACGTAATCAGTGCTGTTTACGTTCGGAGGGGGGAAGCGCGCGCATGAACCTAATCTACGTAATCAGCGTTGTTTACACTCGGGGAAAGCGTGCATTTGCATTGTGATACTCTCTAAAATGGCGGAAGACGTAACTCGGGGGAGAAGAATTGTTGAATAAAGTCGTTATTATTGTTTTCTTTGCACACAAAAAGTATTCTCATAGCTTCGCAAAAATGAAGTTGAGCCACTGATGTCACATGGACTGTTTTACTGATGTCCTTGCTATGTTTCTGGACCTGGGAACATTACAGTTGTGTTGCTGTCTATGCAGCGTTTGAGAGCTCTCAGAATTCATCAAAAATATCTTAATTTGTGTTCTGAGGATGAACGAAGGTCTTACAGGTTTGGAACGACATGAGGATAAGTAATTAATAACAGAATTTTAATTTTGGGGTGAACGATCCCTTTAAGTTATTTTTTTGTCATATTTAAAATTTCCCACATGTTTCCTACTTGTTTTGAGCACTTGTGCTTTGAAGACTTACAGTGCTTTCAGATCTTAAGTACACCCCATGAAAAGTTTTGTACTTTTGTATATGTGGGCGTATCAATACTGAAACTTTCATAGCCGCGTGAACTAGGGGTGCTGCAGGGCCGGGTCTAAGATTTTCATTGTGCCCCTCGATCATCCCCAAGATACTTCATTTTTGTGAGAGTTTTGTGATTAATTACATATTAAATGACCAGAAATATAATACGGTTGTATTTTTCATCCCTACATCACCCCCTCACTAGTGTTGTTTTTGGCGGCCTGTTTTAATTTTAGTTTTAGTCTAGTCTTTGTGTGAAGCTGTCATTTTAGTTTTTATTAGTTTTAGTCACGTTCATACTCTTTTTAGTCTAGTCAAGTTTTAGTCAACTAAAAGTCTGAGCATTTTAGTCTTGTTTTAGTCAGAATTATCCATGACTATTTTCGTCTAGTTTTAGTCGACGAAAACTGATGACATTTAGTCTAGTTTTAGTCAATGAAAATTGTATTTTAGTCTCTTTTTAGAAATGCAATT